CAACCTCACTTACAGCTTTGGAAGCCCTACAGATGGTTACTATGAGTCAGATCAACTCAATGAAAGTTAATTTGGTTGGGGGTTCAACGTGTTTGAACTTTACCTTAGTTGTAACTGAGGAGCTTTGATGGCATAGTGGTTAGGTGTTAGCCCGCCATTTGTAAGATCAGCAGTTTGAAACCACCAGCCACTCTGTGGGAGAAAGATGAGGCTCTCTCTATGTCTGTAAAGAGCTATAAGTCTCAGAAACTCAAAGGAGTTCTCTCCTGTTATGTAGGGCCACCATGAATGCGCACCAACTCAATAGCAGGGAATTTCACTTTGGTTTTTATAGCTGAATCTCGAATGCGTTCTAATCTGGAATGTTCTGAAGTTGCAGGACAGCCTGGCAAATGCATCCAGGGGGCACAAGGGAGTCCCACAGCCATGTGGCATCCCTTGAGCAGGATGGGAGCTAGTTCCTTGGGAAACAATACCAAGGTGCATTATATATATATCTCTCTTCAAAAACAATACCTAGGTACATTATGCCTGGCAAAAGCAAGTACCAATTGTCTCTACTTGTGACCAGCTTAATATTGCTTCTTTGTATTGATTCTCTCCCTCCCTCCATATCCTCCTCCGTTCTTAGATTCCTAGTGCTACTGTAATAGAAATAATCAAGTAATTTTAAAGAACAAAGTTTTCTCACAGTTCTTGTTCTGAAAGCTAAATGTCTAAACTAAGTTCTCAGGCAGGGTCTCTGATTCTTCCAAGGTGCTCGTTGTCCCCCGCTAAATGACATTGTATCTAATCTGAGCTTTTCATTGCAACAATTTATTATGTCTAGGACAAATACTACAATGGCATTGACCTCGATAATTTAACAAAGAGAATCTCATTCCCAAACAGCATTATGTCTGCATACAGGTTAAGATCTCAACACATATTTTGGTGGTGGTGGGGGCAGGGGGGAGCACAAATGAATTCATAACATCCTTTTCTGTATCTCAGTCTTCATTGTCCTCCTCTCCTGTGGCCCCAAACTGTTTACCTGGCCCTCATTCATATCCCTGCCCTTCTCTAAAACAAAACAAAACAATTAAAAAATAGAACAAAACAAAATTGATGGCATCCTTTAGTCTTTTTCTTAGATATTTCTTGCTTGGGAAAGCCAAGTCTAACATTGAGTACAAGAAGAGTCTCTAAATGTGATCATTCACTAGTCACTTAGGCAGATGGACACCTTTGCTGGTGGCGAGTGTGGTGGCATTAGGCCCTTTCAAACAATAACATTACAATTCATAAAGCTATCCCTGTACACCACATGAGACAAAGGGCAGCCTTATGTAGAAACACCAAACGAAAAGAAAACAAACCCCTTGTTGCAGAATAAAATTCACTCCGTGATCCTATATCCTGTAGTCCCTTGGCATTTTGAGGGATTCTGTAAAGTTTTATAGGAGCAGGCAGCTTCAGCTCCCCCGCCCCCCTCTCAGAGCAGCTGCAGTGTTTGAACAACTGATCTTTTTGTTAATGGACAAGCACTTAACCCTCTGTGCCACCAGGACTCTAGCCATGTCACTTATATCATATGAAAGAGTAACTCAAAGGCCTATGTAGTTGGATGACTTTTGCTTATGCTTTGAGCAGAGGTTGGCAAACTTGGGCAGTAGTCTGATCACCTGTTTTTGGACATCCACTTACAATGGAACACAGCCACAATCGTTTGTTTGCCTATTGTTTCTGACTGATTTCCTGTTACAGTGCAGAACTGAATAATTCAAAACAACAAACAAACAAAAAAGTCACTCCATGATACACAAGTGCAAAATACTTAGGGTCTGGACCTTCAAGAAAAAGCTTACTGTATTCACCTTTAGAGACTTTGAAAAAGAAAAAAAGAAATTACATGTCTCTCCTTGCTAAATTCAAGCTATGCCACAAAAGCTCTTTTATCTCTTACAGAGAAAGAACAGCATACATAAAGAAGGTAAAAGTTCATTTAAAAAGACAGTGAATGAGGCAAAGCACTGGGGGAGTGCAGCGGAACAGCAAGGGAATGGAACAGCAAGGTCCTCAGTGAATGCTAAAGGTGGACTTTGGGGCCAGGGCGTGGTGCCCCAACAGACTGGACTGGAAAACA